CGTTTTGCGGAAAATCGCTACTGCGCGCTCAATATCAGTCCGATTTGAATCAAATTTTCACCAAATGTTCGCCAGTGTATGCAAAATATGGTAAAGTTGTAAAATTAACAAACAATAAAATAATATAAGAATTATTCAGGAAAATCTTGAATCGTGGTACCGTTACGCTTTTGAGTTGTGCTCCTGCTGGTTTTAAGTTATATTTATGAAGATATCATTTTTATAAAATAGTTGTTCTAAAAAATCGTGTTCGGAATTTTTCGTTTATTTCGTCATTCCGCTGATATGGCGATTTCTTTGACGACTGCAATATATTTCTGAATTGTTTGAGTGAATTGCTCTTTATTATTAAAATATCCAAAATTTAAAAAAAGCCGAACAACATTTTGAAACTGAAGTTTTAGCTATGTCCTGTGAAAATTTGAGAAAAATTGGTTAAAACCCGCAGGAGCATAACTCGTTTGAAAATCAGTAATTACCATAAAATTCTTTGGTAGAAAATTGAATTTGGATATTACATTTTCAATGTTTTTCTTATTGCAGCGAAATGTATTTTATTAAATAACTCTGTGAGTTTTCAACATTTTTCGTTCAAACTTGGTCAGATAGTAGAACTAATCTAATACTTTCAAGGAAACCAACAAAAATATTTTAGGCAAAATTAACCCTCAAAGGTGTTCTGTAACCTTAAGTATGTTTAAATATTAAAGATAAAGAAGAAATCAAAATTATTCACAGTTTTTCACAGGTATGAATTGAAAATTAATGTCAGAAATTACTCTCAAATTTGACAATGGCGCGAGTGGCTGTGCTCGCTTGATTACAATAATATAATGATTGCTCGTGTAAAATTGAAAACATGCATGATATATTGATATTAACAGGAAACAAGACGCTCTGTTGAGCGTTTAGTCGCTGGGGCTATTAAAATAAGGTCTTCTGCGCAGGGCTTCTGCGCAGGGCTTCTGCGCTTATTGCTCTCTCTCTTCTGAGAGCAGTGTATAAGCGCATAAGCCCTGGGTATGAGGTTGATATCATTTATTGGATTTATCTGGCTTAGGCCAACTTCGAGGACACTGGAAACCAGGCTTAAAAAATTAATTGCAACTCCACATTTTGACCCTTCAACTGATTTTCTCAAAAAATTTAATGCGCCCCCCTTCTAGTAAATTATTTATACTCATGGGGTCATGGTCCCACCTTTTGCCTCCCCCTCCCTCTTCCATAAATAAGGACTGGTCCCTAACTGCAGGAAAAATATGTGCACTTCACAGAACATTTATAACAATTCATAATTTATTACTATTGCCTCAGGCTGGGTAACCACAACAGAAGTTGCCAAATAGGCCCTTTGAAGGTAGCTTGCGTGTCAGGCTCAATGCTTGAAATAGAGCCTGTTATACCCTGTAAGCAAAGTCCTCTCGTATTTCTTCTTGGCACGGCACGGAGAAGCGAGAGAGACTCTTCAGAACTTGTGTATAAATTCATTTGAGCATGCGCGAAGGTTGCTAAGCAACTGCCTATTTCCCAGAAGAAGATTTAATAAGTAGTTTCCGGTTCGGATCAAAACCGGCTATAAAACTGGTATCAAACCTGAAATTAC